CCACTCAGCACTGGCTGACTATGGTTGGAGTCCTGAACCTGGCGACTTGAAAATCACACAAGGCATGTGTGTGTGTGTGTGCCCAAAATCCCTAAAGAGAATGGAGGAGAAGGGATTGCATCATTGCCATCCACCCTAGGGGATGATTTCTCACTTTCCCTCTCTTTGTGTCTGTCTATTTGTCTCTGGTGAGTGCACATGCCCTGTTGTAAAAACCTTAAAAAAAAAAAAAAGGCCTTGGTTCTTAGGTGAGTAGTGGTAAATATTAGTGAATAAGATAAACTTTTAAAACCTTGAGATGAAAAATGCCATAGATCTCTATAGACACTAAGCTGTGATTACTCATATTCAGTACCTACTCACAAGAACTGAAGCCACAAGGTGTGTACCCTTTTCATGAGTCATGAGATGAGAATTCTGTACAGGAAAAAACTAGGAAGCCATCAAACTTCACAACCTCTTTAATGCTAATCAGCATTTTTGGATTGATGCAACACAGAGTTATAACCTTGTGGATATGATGGAGATTGCTTGGATAGTAAAACCTAATAGAAGGGCAGCTTTGGTGTCTCAGGGAGCCCAGTTTGGCACAACTGTAGCAGGATCAAGCTTCACCACTATCTAAGTTCTGGGAGATACAGCAAGAAGTTTCTATAAATCTCATTCTAATACAGACACTGAGAGTTCTGTTCATCCATACCGGTATATCTGTGGGTAGGTGACCAGGTCTGCTTGAGGAACCACTTCCTCAAAACTTCTCAGGGAAATAGGAAAATAGACTCTAACTGTTACATTTAGGTCATTGAAGACCCTGCTTTTTGGAGTTCACATTCAGCACTACTACTCTACAAGGCTGGATTAAGAGTTGGGTGGGAAAAGGCTCCTTAAAGTTTGTCTATCAAGAACATGTCCCCAGACTCCAAACATGAAGAGCTTGGCAGATATAAGATACTATGGTTTAAATGTCCCTGTCAGAACTCATATTGAAACTTAGTGCTCACTGTAACACAAGAAGTGGAGCCTTTAAGAGGTGATTAGGCCATGGAATTAATGCCATTATCAAGGGAGTGGGTTATCATGATAGTACGCTTGTTATAAAAATGGCCCTCCCTAATCCTGAGATGGCTACTGAACTTGAGCTGTGAAATATTGCCTTCATTGACTAAAAATGAAGATTTTTCTGCTGAGACTTCTCCCTCTAGATTCATTTCTAGTGGGTAGGGCTACCTCTGTCTCCTTCTGTCTTTCTCTTAAATTTTTTTTTTTAATTAAAAAAATTTAAGGTAAAGTATTCTCTGGCCTCTCCTTTATTGTACTAATTTGAGCCTTTCTCCATACCATTTAGGAAAAGCATAAACCCAGGCCCATCCTGAGTTGGCTACTGAACTTAAGCTATGGAATATTGGTTTTGTACGGTGTGCATGCACTCCATGTTGTTTTCAGTTTTTCCTTTTTAAAATTAAAATCAGAAGTTTCTTATCTTTTTTTCTTTTTTAAATTAAATTTAATTTTTTCTTCTTGCTTCCTCTTCTCTAATTCTTTTCCATTTTTCTTTACCTTTATTCCTTGACTGCTCAGCCTCCATGCACTGAGTGTGTAGATAAATCCAAGTGAACAGGATCCAAACATCTGATTATGATTAGGGTCAGAATAGTCCTCATTTCCCACTGACTCTGATGCACAAAGAGTGAAAAATGTAATGGAAGAGAGATTGCAGATCACCTCCTCCTGCATGCCTCTGAACACTCAGACTGAACTTAAAGGATTAGGAAGAAATGCACCATAGATCAGATTACCAAAAATCACCACAGGGTCACAAGAAATATGGGAAAGCAAGAAAATATCTCTCCTTCAAGGAAAAAGAATAACTCCTCTTCATCTTCAGGCAATATAATGAAACTCACAGAAATGTCAGATAAAGAATTTAGAATATTCATAGTGACAAAGCTAACAGAGAGGCACTAGAAGAGAGACAATGAACTGCAGAAGAGGCAGGAGAAAGGAGCTGATGAGTTCTAGGAGGTGAGGAAATTCTTGCAAGATCTGAAAGAGGAAATATGCACCATAAAAAAGAATCAAATGGACCCGTTAGAGATGAAGGCTATAACACAGGAAGTCAAAACCTTCCTTGAAAATATTAAAAGCAGACTTGATCATACAGAAAATTCAATCTCAGATGTAGAAGATAGAATTGCTGGCCTAGAAAAACCCACCATGAAGATTGAGAAAATTGCCCCCCAAAATGAGAATACTATACGAGAAATACTAGATACCATCAAATGTCTAAACATCTGGATAATTGGTATCCCAGAAAGTGAAGAGACTCATAAGGGCATTGATATTCTATTCTATGAAATCCTGGAAGAAAACTTTCCAAACCTAGAGAGGCATTCGAAGATCCCATCCCCCAAAATACAATGGACCCCAAATAGAATCAACCCAAGAAGATCTTCACCAAGACACATTATGGCCACATTGACCTAAACCACAGACAAAGACAAGATGCTAAAATTGGCAAGAGAGAAACAAGTTACCTACAAAGGATATCCCATCAGACTAACAGTGGACCTCTCTCATTGTAAACAATGTGAGTGAGGAAAGAATGGGAAAAAGCCATTTCAACCAAAAATACTGTATCCATCAAGATTATCTTTCATATGAGAAGAAAAGACTAGAACATTCTCAGATAAACAAAACCTGAAAGAATTTACCAACACCAGACCAGATCTCTAAGAAGTTCTCAAGGGAGTGCTATACCAGGAAGATTAAATACAGAAACACAGAAATAGGAGTTCAAAAACTAAGAAAATGGCAACTTACTGGTAGAGAAAACTCTGGAGTTGAATATTATATACAACAGAAGATAGATTAAGTCCATGAGACTGAATTGGTGAAATAGAATTTTATGACTTTTGACTAAAACAGTGCAGATTTTCTTCTAGGCTTTGTTTTCTGCTTTTATGTATTTTTGTCCTGTTTTGAGCTGCTAATAGGTTCATGTACTTACTATTTGAACAGAATCCTAACCTGCTTCCTGGCTTTAAGTTTTAAGCAAAGTTTCTTAGCATTTCTTTGATTTATTAAAGCTAAAAATACTTTTCTTAAAATTAAAAAAATACCTATTTAATGACTGTAGCATCAGCTAGGTGCTACTTTATAGTATATTCATTATACTCAGAGTTTCACGCCTAAAGTCAGACACGTATTCACAGAGATATGTATATATCAGCTGAATTTGCTATTAAAAGTAGTTAGATTTTTTAAAAAAGTTCTTTAAAGTATTTTACTTCAGATTAAAAAATGAGTAGCTTCCACACTGTTCATTGCAAGATACACAATATTCACAAATACAATGCTGGTAATTTGAAGAAATACATACACACTTTCATATCTCCTTCATCCTTTTCTTTTATGAATATACTCTTTACCAAAAAGAAACTTCAGCAGTACAGGAAAAACTATTTTCCCAATAAATTTATGAAAACCTAAGATACCCAATGGAATCAAGATGATATTTCTGCTATCACCACCTTAAATATAATCACATGCATATTGGAACACTAATATTTGCACCCTAAGAAGTAGTTACATTATTTAATAAATTGTGTTACTCAATAAAACGTGTGGAGAGAAAGGAATGGAAAACTACTGTGGACACCAGAGATAGTGTTAGAGGTACATGGGAAATAGTAAAGGGTGAGAAATAGGAAAGAAAAACCCATATATATATATATATATATATA